GGTCTATCACTTTTCTAATCACAATTCAAATGAAATGTTCTTTGTCTTATAAAGTGAGCAGACTTGAGTTAATTAATTAAGGAGTTCAGGAGGGCTGACTTTGGGCTAAGAGTGAACCTCTAAACCAACTTCCATTAACATATTCTGGGTATTTCTTTGAAGCCTGAAAATTTTTTTCAACCTCCGCAGAACCTTTATACTGTTGTTCTTAAAGCAGCTACTCTTTCATTATAATTATCAATAAACTAAGCAGTTTTTAAATAGCAATTTTCTTTTTTAATTTTTAATTTAAATTTTATTTTTATATTCCCCATACAGTTATAACCCCCTTACTTTGACCCCAATTCCTCCTTTCCCCACCCCCCAACCTCCATAGAGTGTCTCTGGTTCATAGTTGTTTGTTGATTTTGGTATTTTCTTTCTTATAGTTATTCTTTTTCCTGGTCCCTTATTTTTGTTTTCTAGATTCCTGCTATGAGTGAGACCATCGGTATTTTTCTTTTTCATTCTGGCTTATTTTGCTGAGCATGATCCCTTCCATCTCCATCCATGTTGCTGCAAATTGCATGTGTTTATCTTTTTTGAATGCTGAGTAATATTCCATGGTGTATATGTACCACATCTTCTTGATCCATTGGGCATTTGTGTTGTTTCCAAAGCTTAGCTATTGTAAATAGTGCTGCTATAAACATAGGGGTGCAGGTGCTCTTTGGAATTGATATTTCTGTGTCCTTTGGGTAAATACCTAGGAGTGGAATTGCTGGATCATATGGAAGCTCTATGTTTAGTAGGTCCAGAAATCTCCACACAGCTCTCCATAGTGGTTGGACCAGTTTGCACTCCCTCCAGCAGTGCAGGAGAGTTCCTTTTTCTCCACACCCTCGCCAACATTTGTTGTTGCTAGTTTTTTAGTATGTGCCATTCTCACTGGTGTCAGATGGTATCTCATGGTAGTTTTGATTTACATTTCCCTGATTACAAGTGATATTGAACATTTTTTCATATGCCTGTTGGCCATTTGCATTTCCTCTTCAGAGAAGTTTCTTTTTAGCTCTTCTGTCCATTTTTGACAGGATTATTTTTTGTTGTTGTTGTTGAGTCTCATCAGCTCTTTGCAGATTTTTGTGATCAGTCCTTTATCAATAGTGTTGTGTGCAAAAATGTTCTCCCAGTTGGTGGGGTTTCTCTTTGTTTTTGTTACTCTCTCTTTTGCTGTGCAGAAGTACTTTAATTTGATGTAGTCCCAGCTGTTTATCTTTGCCTTCACTATCACTGCTTTGGGTGATGTATCTGTAAAGATGTCTTTGATGTGCATATCACGTAGCGTTTCGCCTATATTTCCTTCTATATATTTTATGGTTTCAGGTCTTATGTCTAGTTCTTTAATCCATTTTGAGTTGATTTTTGTGTATGGTATGAGGTAGTGGTCAAGCTTCATTCTTTTGCATGTAGCGACCCAGTTTTCCCAGCACCATTTATTGAACAAACTTTCTTTGCTCCAATGCATATTCTTTGCTCCTTTGTCAAAGATTAGTTGACCATAAATCTGTGGATTTATTTCTGGATTTTCTGTTTGATTCCATTGGTCTGTGCATCTGGTCTTGTTCCAATACCATGCAGTTTTGATGATTATGGCTTTGTAGAATAGTTTGAAGTCAGGGAAGTGATGCCTCCATCCCTTTTTTTTTTTTCAGGAGAGCTTAGGCTATTCGAGGTTTTTGGTGATTCCATATGAATTTCATCAATAATTGTTCTATTTCTTTGAAGAATGACATTGAAATTTTTATTGGAATAGCACTGAATCTGCAAATTGCTTTTGGTAGGATGGCCATTTTAATAATGTTTATTCTTCCAATCCTTGAGCAGGGGATGTCTTTCCATTTCTTTGTGTCTTCTATTTCTTTTAACAGTGTTTTATAGTTTTCTTTGTATAGGTCCTTTACCTCTTTTGTTAGATTTATTCCCAAGTATTTGGTTTTTTTTGTTTTGATAATAAAAGGGATGGGTTTTTTTATTTCTTCTTCTTCAGATTTATTGTTTGTGTATAGGAAGGCTAATGACTTTTGCGTGTTGATTTTGTATCCTGCCACTTTACTGAACTGATTGATGAGTTGAATTAGTTTTTCTGTGGAGTTTTTGGGGTTCTCTATGTATATTATCATATCATCTGCAAATAGTGATAGTTTGACTTCTTCTTTTCCTATTTGGATTCCTTGTCTGTCTTTCTCTTGTCTTATTGCTCTGGCTAGGACTTCCAGGATTATATTGAAAAGCAGTGGTGAGAGTGGACATCCTTGTCTTATTCAGATCTTAATGGAAATTCTTTCAGCTTTTCACCATAATAGCAATTTATCTTTATGAAGGAAAACTGGGGTGGAAAAATCCACTTATTAAAATAATCTGAGGAATCATTAAGTCCTTTTCAATAAAATTTAAACAGTAAATTAGGACAAATATTCAATATATCTTTCATCTCCCTCTTTATATACCATCTTAAAACAATAGGGCAAGGGCACTAGAATGATGACACAGTCTGAAAAGTATCCAAAATATATGAAAATCACTGCATCCCCTTTCAGAAGTATTTTTATTATGTTCGGTGCATCCACTAAATGCTGGCTAACAACCAGTAACAGGGGAGGAGCTCAGTAATTTACTGCTTTACCTAGACTCAAATTGTGCCATTTTGTCTACTTTATGTCTCCAAATCTTTCTGGGGTGACAAAAGTGATTAAAGTCTCCACCATGGTCAATGTTGAAATAACTTTCTAAAAGCTTAAACCAATTCACATTATTATAAAGTAGTTCATTCAGCTTACATTAAAATCATTTGTATTTCCTAGAGACTGATTTTAATAATGGATTTATTATCTCAGCCAGTTGAGTTTTAAAGTTATTCAAAAAGAAGTGTAAATAACCTTAAATATGGCCTCTCTGTTGGTGCAGGTGGTTGAGAGCAGCGCTGTGAAGCTGTCTGCAGCCTCTGCAGAGCGGGTTCAATCCCAGCCATCCGGGGACATACCCACATGGCGCAGGAGACCTCTCCTGTCTCACCTGCTGCTCCCCTCACTAGTGTATTTCAGTCAGTCTGCCTGTTCTGTTCCCTGCTCTGTCTCTGGTGAATCATCTCACCCTCCTGCACATCTGGCCTGTATGCCGGTTCTTGTATGCATTAATAAATAAATCTTATCAAAAAAGAACCTTAACTATCTCAGGCCAAGTCATTTAAAGTCCTAACAGATTCAACTTCTAAATCTTTCTAAAACTATTTACGGTATCCATTCCAGTGTAGACTTCCATTCCTGCCATTTGTCCTATAGACCTAAGGTGGAAATATGATATCACACATCTATGCTGGTTATCAACCCCCTACTTGCTCCCAGGACCTCTGTTCCTTGTATCTCTTATGGAAACCCAAGGGTTACAGAAGATTGATTCCCAGAATGTCAGTATTCAAGGACTTTAAATATGCTTAGATTCATTCTCCAGTGTTTTAAATCATAAAATTTTTGAACTAAGACAGATCTTAGATGTCACCTGTTTCAAACTCTCCGTGTTACAGATTTAAAACAACTAAGTAATTTGAAAGTTGAGTCACACACTCAAAGCCACACAGCTAGTTAGTGAAAACTTGGGACCTATAACCAAGCACTGACTGAATCCTTGTTGATCTACATGCTCTGAATCCTTCTGTTCACTATTGTCTGCCAACCAGCAATATCAGCATCACTAGAGGACTGGTAAGGAACACAGAGTCTCAGCCCCCTTCCCAGACTCATTGAATCTGATCTATTGCTACAAGTTCCCCTGGTATATCATTTGTATATTATAGCTTGAGGATCCCTGTGATAAACCGTAATGTGTCTTTCTCCAGAGAAAGAGAGAAAATGGAGGCAAACAGACATTGGTTTGAAGTATGACTCCACTTTTCTAAATGTGAGCAATTATCTCAAATTGATCTCAATTTTATCTCATTTGTCATCTGGAAATAATAGCACTATGCATTTCATGATATATGCATGCATATATACATACATATTTCATATTTGCAGAGTGCTTTAGGCAGTAATGACTATAGTATATGTAGCTAATATTAATTCCAGCCTCTTGCTCACCATTAACATTTTGCTCAACCAAAAGGAAAGTAATGAGTGACTATGTATCCATGGAGGAATGACTTTCCTTTCTTGTTCTATTTGTTAAATGCCATTTTAACTTTGATATGTGATTAAGATCTTTATGTTATTTTATATTTCTAACTCCCTAGAAAATGATTTTATCATGTAGAAAATAAATAAGAACAGCTAACTATATTAGTATAGTGGTTGGAGATGAAAACATAAGTCATAATCCCTAAGGCAAGTCATAGCAAAAAGCACAAAATTCTCTAAAATCTTGACTTCAAATCCCATAAACCTGACTTCCAGGAGCCAGGGGATCGGCTGTGATTTTCCTGGATTCAGCCACCACAGGATGAGTCCACAGCTTTGGCAACAGTAGAACACATTTAAAAGATGACATTTCATCACCAACCTATCCACATCTGTCAGCATCAAGGAAAACAATTTGACAAGGAAAAGAGAAATAAAATTTCAGTATCCCAACTGAACCAAATTTTTGAAGGAAAAAAAAACCGTTTAATGTGGAGTATGAAACCATACTGAAATTATATTTTGGAGAGCATGCGATATAAACATCAACAAGAATACCATGTTTCCCAAAGATAATGGCTCCAAACCCTAGTTGAGGGTTAGAAACAACCAAGAGGCTTAAAAAGAAATTGAATGTGCATTTCTGAGGCAGGGACCCAGGCTTCCATGTCTTTTAAAAGAGTCTCAATTGATTTCAATGTACAGCTGGGGTTCAGAACCATCCCCCTGTGGCAGCAGAAGACTGGTCTTATTTGAGAGTCAGTCCACTGAGCACTATTGGTTACTGTTGATACACAATTCCCAGAATTTAAAGGACTGGTCTTAACTTCGTTTGTGTACCTCTTCCAGGTCTTTTTGCCATTCCTCCAGGACTTCCACCAAAAGGAAAGGATCCCCTGGACCAACACCCTCTAAGATGTTTATATGGACCAGTGGCCGGACCTCTTCATCTTACAGACACGATGAGAAAAGGTAAATTACTGAGACTCTGGGGGCCTTTCAGAAACATTTAACTTACTAGCCCAGACAGAATGCCCATGGAAAGCATTAGGCAACTGAGCTTTATGTTTTTGCAAACAGTAATGCAGGCTGGGCTCTACATTGAGGGGATAGGACTTCAGGCACTTTTTGCCTTCCTCTTCCTTGTATGCCCCATGCTAACTCCCACAACATAATTTTGAAGAATGCTCCCTATCAGAAGACCCTTCAAACCAAATGTACAAAAATGAAAAATGATGTAAAATAAAGTAAAATAATAATTTTTAAAAATGTGCAGGGCCTCCCTGGTGGTGCAGGGGGTTGAGCGCTGTGCTATGAAGCTGTCCGCAGCCTCTACAGTGCAGGTTCAATTCCCAGCAGCCAGGGAGAAACCCGCATGGCGCAGCAGACCTCTCCTGCCTCAACCGCTGCTCCCCTCATTTCAGTCTGTCTGCCTGTTCTGCTCCACGCTCTATCTCTGGTGAATTCTCTCACCCTCCCATGCCTCTGACTGTACCCCAGTCTTTGTATAAATAAATAAATCTTTTAAAAATATATAAAAAATTAAAAATGTGCACCTGCCCCCTTGCTGCATAGCTAACTCCAACTCTGCCTTAAGCTATACAATCAATTAGAACCTCCCCCACCCTCTCCACTAGCACAGACTTGGTATTTAACTCTCCATTGAATTTTTAGCACCTACCATTGTATCTGGCACATGGTAAATGCTCAATAAATACTGAACAGACATAGTGAAAATTGCATACCAAGGCACTCAACATATGGCAAGGAAGGAAACCAGAAACTATGTGAGGATGAAAAAAGAATGAACTAGTCCATGGAGCCCCAAAGTCATTGGAAGAATAGTCTGGGGTAGGGGGAAATGGGAGCATCAAGAGGAAAGATGAAAGGTCAAAGACAGGGTTAATGAAAGACAAAATGACAATTACACAGCTCACTCCTACCTTCCCACTTGGGTTTAGGGAGTAAATGCATTCATAAAATTTCCCAGACATTTTTAAATATTTTGTTTCATTCCATTAACTTTCTTCTTCTATTCCTCCTTCTCAAGGACTGTGAACTGTTATTTGGACTTGATAAAGCTAAAACACAATTGCCTATACCAGTATATTGCAACTTAATCAGACTTATCTGCCTACAGAATCTGAAAGACATCACAATTGATAAATGGCGCTAAGCACAAGAAAAAGGACATAGGGTTACTTACTTGAACCTAGTTTTGAAAGCTAGTGCTTTTATTTTTGTTTTTAAAATCTGTATTTCCCTACAGATAAAATCCTTTGAAAAATTCTCAAAGGAAAATAATTGCAATATTGATATTACAGCAAAGATTTGGAAAAAACACTAGTGTTCACAATAGAAAAATTGTTAAATAAATCATGAAGTGTAATATATCATTTGACAGTCAGAAGTACTTTGACATAGTATTAACAGAAAAATCTAGTTGAAAAATTTTATGCAAACTAAGATTGCAGCCACAAAAAATATATACAGAGGAAAAAGCTGGAAAGAAAAGTATGTTTTTACTTCTCTGTTTTCCAAATGTTTTGTTATATGTTGTATAATGTGATTATGAAAAAACAGTGTTTAAGTAAAATTACAGTCTAGAAGACAACTAGTATTTGAACAAAGTCCCAGTGCTCATCGTGATAAAAGATTGACTGAAATTTTACTTTTTTTGTTCATCTCTAGTTATATACATGCTTTTTCTCAATACGTAATGAAGTTATTTTTCATTTGCTTTCAAACCAACTAAGTAGAATCATCCAGCAAGGTCTGTTTTACAGACTAAAATTTCATGTCATTTCAAAATTGGTTATTTGTTTGTAATTTACTCATTTTCTTTAAAAAAGTTCTCTACTAGTGATGTGCAGAATAGCAGAGCTTTTATGCCCTACAGGAATATTGTGACTGGCAATGGCCAGCCCTTTTAAGATTTGAAGGCTTCACCAGAGATGGTATATATGGTGAAATATGATGTATTTGTTTTACATCTGATTGATTTTCATTGAGTAATTAAAGCTACTAGAAAGATAGATACAGATAAGTATATACAAATAAATGGATTAACATTTAAATAGCAACTACTGTGCTACTTAAAGACATTGAATTTTTAGCAATGTTTATAAATGAATTTTTATAAATGTTTCATTTATAAAATGTTTAAATTCATAAATTTATTTATAAATTGTTCTTTTCATTTACAAGATAGGAATTTTTATGCCCCTTTTACAGAATGGGAAACTAGGGCTCAGAGATTTTAAATAACTTCCAAGTATCCAACAATTAGCCAGAATTTGAACCCAAGTCACACTCTCTCCCCTGTACCCCATGGCTTACAAGGGCTCTTATCAAATATATGAGATAGTTGGGGCAGCAGTGAAGAGCAAATTCACAAGGGGAAAATTGTATTAAAATAGACTGAAAATTGTATATTAAAGCTGATAATAAAGATGCAAATATGATTTACTGGTGTTATTTGTATATTTAAGAGGAACAAATAATTAGTTTCATATTCTACACCAATAAAATTCTATGAAACTCTCAAATTACTACTTTCATTTTTGCATTTGAAGGTATAATTTCAATAACTATGAAATGGAAAATAATTAAAATTTTGACAATAAGAAAATCACTTTCAGCTAGCTTTAGTTAAAGCATGGGTATGTCAAAGCTTAGAAAATCAGTCTTCACAGCTTTGATCTACAAAGTTACAGACAAATGGAAAAAGTTAGTCAATAAATACAATAGACTGCCACTAAGTCAGTATTCTTAGTCGGATGTTGGTTCCTTTGTGCCTCCTTCTTGACTTCAACTTCATCTTCACAATCTGATTCAGACTCTAATAGAATAAGACTCAGATTTTAAAACTGACTTTGAACAGCATCTATTGCTCTGCTTAAGATAGTCTCGGTGGCAGTATTCCTGGTGATAATGAAGGTGATGATGGCTGATAATGAATCTAGATAATTAAAGTCCTTGAGTTAATTATTTGGAAATAAATTAACCAGGCTGTAAACAGCACTGCCCATAACACAGGTAATTGTCCCACCCTTATTTTGTTTTCATCCTGCAAACCTGGGCTGTGTGTTCTGCTTCCCCAGCTGTCATCCACAGCGAATCCTGAGGCTGAGCAGCCAAAATCCTCTCCACACCATTATCTTCTAAGACAAGAGCCAAACTTGTCAGAATATTGCCTTCTCTGTGAGTTCTCAAAGGGGAAAACCTCAGGAAATCAGCTCAAGTACAAGGCAGAGACACTGAGTAGAAAGAAAAGGCCACTGAAATTTCTGAAACCAAAGGTTATAGGTTCAAAAGAAATTAAAGTCAATTTTACATTTCTTTTGTTATTTTAGCAAAGCCAGTCCTTTTTCTTATCAGCTATTGTATGCAAAACACTGGTTTCTATCCTTAGTTCCATTCTACAAACCCAGAAATATGAAGGAACACCTTTTCCTCTCTGAAAAGCGTTTTTGTTAGGTGAGTTTACTTTAATCCCTAAATTGCAGGTGGTGAAATAAAATACCAGTTAGTACTAACTAATTTAGAAATTAAAAAAGAGAGAACATATAGTCTAAGTGTTTGGGGGGAAAGGATGTCCTAAATGAAAACAACAAACACAGGTTTTATGGACTCTACCCCCCGCCCCCCAGACCAAAGAGATTCAAGGCACCAAGGACTACATTTCCCATAATGTCATGACCACTGAAGGGAGAATTGCTGAAAACTAAGGGTAGAGTTAAGTAGCCAGGCTTGGTACATAATCAGACTTTGTGGGCCTGGTTGGAGGTGGGGGAGTCTTTGGTTTTTTTAGCCAGCTTTCAGCATGCTATTGGGGTCCCAGTTCAGAGGAACTGGTAGGACGTATTCACCAATTTATCTCTCTCTCTTTCTCCCTAAGTTATTCTTTTCTTCATTTCCCCCTTTTGTAAATAAACTCCTTATTAACCTTTCTGTGTGTGTCTACAGTTGAGTCTCATTGTAACTCCCTTTAAGCGTGTGGGTGAGGACCACAGTCAGGCGAACCCATTTCACATTGGGTTTGCCCTGTAACATAAGTACATTGAAACTGTTTATTTAATATTCTTTGGATCATTTTACTAACTAGTGAACTAATATAAATAATTATTTATCATATTTTAACATATAAAGAATGCTATAATAAACATTTGAGTATATGTCATTAAGCTTAAGAACGAAATGGTCAGAATTTTTGAAGTCCTTGAGATTCTTCCCTGATAGTATCCACCTTCTTTTTCCCAATCCCCACCCAGAGATTGCTGAATATTTTGTTCTTTATTTCCTTAATTTTATTTCTCCATAAATTTAGCACATTTGAAACCTTAAACAATTATTAATTAAACAATATATATTTCACTTCTGAATGTTTAGAGATTTTATGTAAATGAAACCATGCCATATGACTTGTTCGACAACTTTTTTACCAAGTATTATGTGCTTATGATTTAACAATGCTAATGTGAATAGTTCATTTTCTTTGCTGGATAGTACCCCAGTATATAAATACACATTTTCACCCACTCTAACGCTAATAAACATTTGCATTATTTCCAGTTCTCTTTGTCATTACCAACAATATTACTCTAATTCTTATTGATATACACATGTACAGATACTTATTAGGATAAACAGCTAACTTAAGAATGGTTGTTTCAAAAACTTCCACTTTACCAGGTAATAGCATTGCTTTCCAAAGTAGTCATAGATGTGATTCCCATCATGCTACTTCCTTGCCAGGAAGTTTCAGATTTTTAATTTTCTACAGTCCAGGGGATATTGTGATTTCAATTCCCATTTCTCATATTAGTAATAAGATGGAGCCTATTTCCCTAATCCTTTTCTTTGAAGTGCCTATTCAAATATTTGGTCCATTTTACTCCTGGATCATTTGTCCTTTTCCTATTGATTTGTTAGAAGTCTTTATAATAAAATCCTATGTTAACACTTTGTGC